ATTGAAAATCAAACGGATAAAAAGATTAAGTGTTTGAGAACTGACAATGGCTTAGAATATTGCAACACTTGGTTTGATAATTTTTGTATGGAAAGTGGGATAAAGCGACATAGAACAGCCCCTTATACACCTTAACAAAATGGGGTGGTTGAGGGGATGAACCGATCTCTATTAGAAAGAGTTCGAAGCTTGCTAGCTTCCTCGGGTTTATCCAAGAGCTTTTGGGGTGAGGCTGTAGTTACAGCAGCCTATTTGATTAATAGATCTCCTTCAGTGTCTTTAAAGGATGAATGTCCCGAATTTAGATGGAGTGGAAAGAAAATTGATTTTTCAAACTTGAAAGTATTTGGTTGTTCTGCTTTTATACGTGTTTTCAATGATAAACTTGAACCTAGGGCTGAAAAATGTGTGTTCCTAGGGTATCCCGAAGGTGTTAAGGGATATAGGTTATGGTTAAACACTAAACCAGGTTTTAAAACTTTTATCAGTCGGGATGTAGCATTTAATGAGAATGAAATGCCTTGTTTGAAACAAAATCAGATTTTAAATGATGAAAACACTGTTGTTAATGGTTCAAATGATACTCAAAATGAAGTGACCAAAATCATTATAATTTAGCCAAATTAAAGGCTGAATTACTTGATAATAATGCCTCAAATGGAACTGATACCAGAACAGCCAGTTCTGATCCAGTTTTTAATTTTGGAAATTCAGAGGCTGATCCGGGAATTAGTTCTGATGATGTTAGTGAGGGAATTGAATCTGGAATTGCTGAAAATATTGATCAAAATCTGAAAAATTATCAACTTGCTAGGGATAGGATTAGGCGAAATGTAAGGCAACCCCTTGGACTAGATGATTTTGATGTTGATGTTATCTCATTAGCTTATAATGTGTTTGAATCATTAGATGGTAATGAACCAAGGTCATATAGTGAAGCTATGAAATCAAAACAAAGAAATGAGTGGATTAATGCAATGAATGAAGAAATGAAGTCATTAAAGGATAATAAAACCTAGATTTTGGTGCCAAAGTTAGCTAACAGTTCTGTTGTTGATTGTAAATGGCTTTACAAAGTAAAACAAGATGAAAATAGAGTTAGATTTAAAGCAAGATTAGTTGCTAAGGTGTTTATACAAAAGAAGAGAATATATTACAATGAAATTTTTGCTCCTGTTGTTAAATATTCTACTATAAGGCTCATGCTTGCTTTAGTTGCCTATTTCAATTGGAAATTGAAACAATTAGATGTAAACACTGTATTTTTACATGGTGATTTGTATGAAAGAATTTACATGAAACAGCCGGAAGGCTTCTTTGATAAAATTAATCTTAATCATATGTGCCTTTTAAAATAGCATGTGAGCATCTCATATTCTTGCTATTATATGTTGATGATATGTTGATTATGAGTCCTAGTTTGGAAACCATTAATCATGTGAAGGATTGTTTAAGCAAGAAATTTGATATGAAATACCTAGGAGATGCTAAAGTAATTCTGGGTATAAATATACTTAGGAATAGACAAGGTAACATGCTGTTTTTAAATCAGTCTTCATACATTAAGAAAATTTTGAATAGATTCTGCATGACTGATGCTAAACCCTCTGTTGTCCCCCTCGTTTCTAATTTCATTTTATCTAAAGATCAATGCCCAAAATCTGAAAATGATGTAAAATACATGATGAATGTTCCTTATACTAGTGTTGTAGGTTCTATTATGTACTTGATGGTGTGCACTAGGTCTGACTTAGCGTATTCTATTAGTTGTTTGAGTAGATACATGACTAATCCGGGTGTGGAACATTGGAATGCTTTAAAGTGTGTGTTTAAATACTTGGTTGATACTATTAATGTTGGTTTAGTATTTGGTAAACACATTAGTGAGTTAAAACTAAATGGCTATGTGGATTCCAATTATACGAATGATAGAGATTTTAGGAAGTCAACTACGTCGTATATCTTTACTTTGTGTGGGTCTTGTGTTAGTTGGAAATCCCAACTTCAGCATATAGTTGCTCTTTTTACGACAGAATCTGAATATGTGGCCATAACTGAAACATTAAAGGAAGGTATGTGGTTAAAAGGTTTATTAAATGAAATAGGCTACTTGAAAAATGAAGTAACAGTTTTTTCAGATAGTCAATCTAGAATCCAGCTTTGTAAAAACCCAGTTTTTCATGATCGAACCAAACATATAGATGTTAGGTTTCATTTCATTCGTGATATAGTGTCTAAGGGTTTTTTAAAATTAGAAAAAATACCTTCTGAATATAATCCTGCGGACATGAGAACTAAAGTTTTGTCAATAACAAAATTTAATTTGTGTAAGAAAACAGTGTATATAGATATTTTTGATTAGGAGAATCTTTGAAACTTGAAGGCTTGTATCCTTTGAGTTTTAACATTCTGTTTTCAGCATGATATATTTAATCATGTAGCTGTTTGTGTGGTTGTTTTTGTTTAGTTTTGCAGCTGATTTTGTTTTTTTATGGTTGTTTTGTTAAAACTTGAGAACATTAACCGTTATAATAAGTCCACAGGTTAAAAGATTGAAATTGTTGGAGCTCGGACAGTGATGACACCCTTTAAAGCACTATCTCTGATGCCCAAAAAGGTGGAGATTTGTGATGTGTTGTGCATATTACATTTCGACCCGACCCAACCTATCGAAACCCGGATCCTGTGCCCGCGGTTCGACCCGATTGAGTGATGAATTGGATGATGGGTTCGTTTGGCTTGAACCGCCCTGGACCGCCCTCAAACCGGTCCAAGGGATCTTAATATATATTGGTTGCCCCGGTTCGCTGAACAGATTGATTTTCTTCACTCCTTCATATCGCGATCTCACTCTCTGGAGCCCTAACTTCCCCGACGAACGCGATCGACCTGGTCTTGGCATTCCGGCGAGTTTGGCCATCGGAACTTGAAGTTCATCCATCGTGGTTGTATTACAGCTTGTCCTACAGCTGTTCTTCGGTTTGATTTCTCGATTATGCCTTTATGTACTGTTCGTTGTGCGAATTGATTTTCCGTGATGATTTAGGCTTAGAATCTTGAGATTTCTTTCGATTAGGTTGTGATTGTGCGATTCTGTGGATGTCGGTAGTGTTTGGGTTGAGGTTATGTGTATATGTTGCTATTCGGTTGGAACTTTGAGTAAACTGAGTCCGAACTCCGTCGATTTTGAATATATAAAAAAAAATTGACGTTCTTTGGTTCATATATGTTCGATTGTTGTTAAACTACAAGCGCTAGGTCCTATTTTTCGATTACAGTACCATCTGTCTAACATAATAAATATCCTTCCAATTTACAAGATATTATACAAATATCATTACTTTTATATTACAAATACCAATTGAGGTTGGTATTTTTGTCTTTTTTACTATAACTCAATATAATACTTTCTCCGTCCACCTTTAAAAATCATATTTACTTTTTATATAATTATACTTAACATTAAAAATATTTTGATATTTGTATAATTTTTTGTACAAATATCATACTATTAATATTATATGATACAATAGAAATACTTTTATACTTTTTTTTAATTTATATTATATTTTAATATAATAATTAATATTTAAAGATAAATATATAAAAGGGGAAAAATTAATTTTGGTCCTAGTATAATCAAAATTTATTACTTTTGGTCCCAGTATAAAAAATTTATCAATTTTGGTCCCAATATAACCAAAATTTATCATTTTTGGTCCCAATATAAAAAATTCATCAATTTTAGTCTCAATATAAACAATTTCAATCAATTTTGGTCTCATTATAAACAATTTTAATCAATTTTGGTCCCACCGTTAAAAAACTAACGGAAATTGCTGACGTTGACATGACGAAGGTGACGTGGCAGTTGACCTGGAAAGTACACGACCATGTATAATTATACAGGGTCATGTTGTTACATGACCATATATATTTCAGTATATAATTATACATAGTTATGTTATTACACGGCCATGTACATTTCTATTTTAGTTTAAAATTTTATTTTTTTGTTATATTTTTATCAAAAAAATTATTTTGAATTCAAAATAGTTGATATAGTTAAAATGGACAAAATCAATAGTAATTATAATATAATAAAATTTATCAATTTTTAATACAAATATAAAAATTTATAAGATATATTCTTTTGAAAGATTTTGTCTAAAATTTTATTATTCATAAAAAGAAAAAAAAAATTCTTACAAACATCCAATTACACAACTATTTTAAAATTTTTTATTTTATAGAAGTATTAAAAATTAATTTATATTTCAATACATTAATTTGATGTTTGTAAAAGAATTTTTTTTTCTAAACAGTAGAATTTTAAACAAAATCTTCCAAAATAATATACTCGATAAATACTTATATTTGAACTCAAATTGATATATTTTAAATATATTATTATTATTATTGATATTTTTTTCTATTTTAACTATATCAACTATTCTAAATTCAAAAAAAAAATATTAAAAAATATAGCAAACATTAAAATTTTAGACCGAAACAGAAAGGTACACGGTCGTGTAGAATTATACATGATGGCCGTGTAAAATTGTACATTGTCGTGTAACAACATGACCATGTATAATTATACACTGAAATATACATAATTATGTAACAACATGACTGTGTATAATTGTACATAATCGTGTAATAATATTGTCATATAACATCATGACCGTATATATTGAAACCAAAATTGATTTTTTCCCATATAAAAAGTAAACAAAGCTTGGAGCCAAACAAAAATAGTATTAATATTTAAAAAAATGTACTTACACAAGTATATATATATATACTCGTTTAATTATACAAAAGATTAAAGTATAATTTAAAAAAGAGAAGAAATAATTATTGTTAGTAAATAGATACAAATGTACACGTATACGGAATTGGCAATGATGGTTCTCCCTTAACAGGGAACAAAATCATTGCTCCCAACAATCCCTTTCACTCTCTATAACTTCCCTTCCTTCCTTCCTTCAATATACTACTATTTCATCTTTTCCGTTCTCCACTTTCTCTCTCTACCTCCCCTCTCTCCTTATTTTATTTTATTTATTTATTATTATTATTTTCCCCAATTTTACAGTATAAATATCTCGATCTTGGCAGGCACTTCTTCTGTTTTTCTCTTCGTCGTCGGCCATGGATCCTCCTTCTTTCAATGGCTTCTACAGCTTCCTAACGCGCGGAATCGATGATCTCGAACGTGACTTTGTTCCCGGCGATTACATGCCCATTCAATTCCTCCAAACAGTCTTATCCCTTCTGCGATCGCTCCACAGTCAATTGACTCTTCTGGTTCAGGAAATACACTTGCCGGTTGGGGGAAAATGGCTGGATGAATACATGGATGAAAGCTCCAGGCTATGGGAAGTCTGCCAGGTCCTTAAGATTGGTACCACAGCCATGGAGAGATACTGCTCAGCTGGCCTCAATGTAACTGCTTCTCTCGATAACCACCGCCGTCTAACTCGACAGCATTTCTTTGAGGTGAATGGAAATTCCTTCCACCGCCTCATACATACATACATACATACATAATCATTGAAAAGTTTTTATTGAAATTTGTCCCCCTGTCTAGAAACAGATTACTCGGTTCCTATCGTTTTGTAGAAGAGAGGGTGGGGGATTGGAGGAGAGTAACAAGTCGTTGATGGAGACGAGAGGCGAGACTCTACAATTGAAATTCGATAGGAAAGTGACGGAATCAAGGCTGAATGGATTCAGTGGGATTCTTTATGCAACCAGGAATGTGACTTCACTTCTGCTGATGATTTTGTTCCAGGGATTGTTATACTTTTCTCCAGACCCTGATTTCTCAACCAACGTTTGTGCCTATGGCTATGACTATGAGAATCGACTTTTGTTCGGGTCATCCTTCTTGGTCTCAACGGCCAGGTTGCATCAGAAAGTGGCGGATCACATGAAGGGCCCCGCCGGAGTTATGCTCTGCGAGTTCAGAGTATCAAAGGCTGCCATTGAAGAGCTGAAGGAAGATCTAGAGTGGAGACTCTCGCAAGGTACTGTGGAGTGGGAGAGAGAAGCTGGGATTAAGGAGAGAGTGGAGACCTTGAATAGCTGTTTGGGGAAATTGAGAGCTGGGACTGACAACATACTTGGGCAGATTGATGATTTTTTTGATGAAATTGTTGAAGGGAGGAAGACGCTCTTGGATTTCTGCACTCATAGGTAGTAGACCACAACTACAACTGTTATGTTCTTTTCCCAAAAGAAAAAGAAAGAATTAACAAAAACAAAGTCAAAAACAAATAAATCAAGAAGAAATGGCAAGATAAAGAGGAGCAGGTGAATCAGCAGCTGGTTTTGATTGTAAGTTCATTTGTGGCTACTTTTTGAGGTATCATACTACTATTCATTTCTTGCCATTTCCTATGTTTTACAGTTGCTAGCTATAGTGGAAAACTATTTTAAAAATGAACATGGTTTGGTTTGGTTTTCAAAGGATGAGGCATGGTAATTCAGTGGCTAACATAAAGGAAAAGATTTTGATTTTTTTATTTTCTTGAAGAAGAGAAAAAAAGAAAAAAGAGAAAAGAAAATGGGGAACATAACATGACAAGAAGAAGCTGTAAAGCAGAAGAAACAGATTTGAACCAGGCATAAAAGTGGAGCCTCTCTGTGCATGTTTCCTTCTTCCATTTAAAGAAAGCAGTAAAAGTAAAGAATGGAAGGTTCTTGTTGTTCAATCAAGGGTAAATGTTAATTGAGTGAACAGATTAATGGCTTTCATTTCATTCCTTGCATTAACAAGAACAATATATGATTGATTGTATACTCTTCCATCATTATTATTGTATTACTTTCTGGCTTTGTGTGATTCAGAGGTGAAGGAAGTTTCCTCAACTAAAAATATCTTCTCTATTCTCTCTCTGAAAACACATATTAGTACTTATATTCTGGTGTAGCCATTTTATTAAGTTCCTGGTTTTAGGGGGAGGGAATATGTGTGTGTATATATATATATTGAGTTGAGTGTGTGTGTGTGTGTGTCTTGGAATTCTTCTGAAAGCAGATTAAATGCAGCATGCTTTTTGTCTCTTTCCGGGAATTCATGCTTTGCTTGCTTGTGCCTTAAACATCATTAGATTGGATTGGATTTGTTGAATACTAAACCAGATCAAAAAGAATTTTGCAGAAGTAGAAGCAATTAAGCTAAGGGATGGAGGTAGGTTGTGCTGGATAATGCTTAGATTAGACATATAGATGTAATCATGTAGATGTTATTGTTGAGTAAAGCTAAAATGCAATGCCAAGGTTTTATGGAGATGGAGTGAGAGGAGGATTCTCTCTCTATCTCAATCTTTGGTGTAGAAGAAGAATCATTCAGCCCAGCCCAGCCCAACATATATAGTTTGGTATAGATAGGAATTTTGAAATTTTAAAATAATAAAAAAATTACTATTTAATGTCATATTTTATTGGAGAATATGCATTTTTACAAAAATTATTGTTAAATAAATATTCTTCATGCTTCAACATAAAGTACTAATTTTATATTTTTGTAGATTACATTTGTAACTATATTTATCCTATTAGTATAATAAAATTAATTAGACACTAATATCAAAATATATTTTATCTCGTAAATAAATTATAAACATATTATATAGAAAGTAATGCCCACTGCCAACTCACTGTTGCTTTTAAATCAAATTAGAATGTCTTTAATTAGGTTAAATTGTACAAAATTTATATCTAATTTTATGAAGTTGCGCACAATTTTTCATATTTTAAAAAATGTGTCAAAATTTATCATTATTTCATAAATTTATGTGTCTAACCCTATTCGGTTGTCCCTTTTTAATGGTTTTTTTATCTACATGTGCCCAAAATGTGAATAAATTACAAAATTTTCATTTTTAACTCCCTAAATTATAAATATATTCTTTTTTTTATATTTAGCATCAATGTACAGTAAAAAAAAATCTTTGTATATTGGTAATTTTAAATGTTTAGAAATAAAAATTATGAAACTTATCCGCAATTTGAACGCATGTAGGTCAAACATTATTAAATAAAGACAACCGAATGAGTTAGATACAAAGATCATGAGGGAGTCTAACATAATTATGTAAGTATGGAGATTTGGTACAAATTTGTAAAATCAAATGTGAATTTTATGCAATTTTCTTCTTTAATTATACTACCTCCGTCCGGTTCTAAGAGTCAAATTTATTTTTTGTGTGTTGATCTTTGAATTTTAATTATTATATAAAAACGTAGTACAAATCAAAAGAAAATAACAAAAATACTTCTTACTATTATGATATTTGTGCAAAAAATTATGCAAATATAATGATATTTTTAATATTAAATAAAATGACGCAAAAGGTAAATGAGACCTTAGAGCCGGGCAGAGGGAGAATGATATTATCATCCTTATTGTTGTTAGCTTATAAAGTATAAAGAATTTTGTGATTGCAGCATCGGAAGTTAAAAACTTGTAGTATATAATAGTTGTTGCTGCTACAACATCAAGGATGCTTATCATGGCAGTTCTTGTTGTTCCTTGATTAGATTAGATTATGGTGATGGTTCATGGCTGCAAATAATTATCATTCTAATTATTTAGTACAGTCACAAATTATATTCTTAGGTCATCTTTTATCGGAAGAATTTTATTTACTTATTTTGTTTTAAGTGAGACGTGCCGCTGCTGCTATTTGAGTACATTTTAGGTAAATTTTCGGCCGAACTTAATAACTTGCAAATTAGACACAAAAAAGCGAGTCACATTAGGCAAATCTACCGCCGCTACTCTTCAAGAGTACTTTGATTAAACTTTCGGTCAAATCTTATAGCATACAAGCTAGACCAGACAAAACAAGTCAATTGTGGCAGGTAAGATGTGAAAGCATTGAGGGTTTAAATCTATAATCCTAAGGTCAATTAAAATAAGATAGTTTATTTATATATGCATACGGATGGTTCGGTACGACATATTAAAAATGCTGGGACATATCAAAAATGCTGGATCATATTGTACTGAATTTCTGGTATAGTTCAATATAGTTTTTAAACTCTTGGTCAATATGATTTTTGCAGGTAAGATCATTCTACTATAGTTTTTAAACCCTCGTCAAAATAAAATCTTAAAACGTCTCAAATTAAAATTAATACAAAAGATTTGAGATGGAGAAAATATATTAGATTTATTTGTTTAATTTTATGATTTGAGATATTTTTTGATAAGTAGTATAAATTATATCAATAAAATAAAAAATAATATTTTAGGTTAGAAATAATATTTTATAAAAGATAGAATATATTATATATATATATATATATTGAAAATTGTGATAAAAAAAAATAAAAAATCAAAGTAAATTCAATTGAAGATTCGTAGATGATGAACATGCCTTTATCTAAAATAAATAAAGAAGAGAAGAACAATTTCAGATACGTGAAACCGTTGAGATAGTGTGATGTTTAATCTGTGTAAAACCTTGAAAGTCTAGCTTTGTGGCCGTGGTTTGCAAACATTTTTTCACTATTTATAAGTTTTTAAAATATCAATTAAATATTTATTTTTTATATTATATTAAAAATTAATTTTGTATTTAAAATATCATATTGACCAATTATTTAATTTTATATTTTTACTATTTAACATTTCAATCCAAAATTCAAATCATCGAACAAATACATTATTTTTTTTTGGATTAATTCGCTTAAGAGAGTATTGATGAACTTTGAGCTGAGTTGGGCTTGATTTTTTGTTTTCTTATATATCTTTTATTTTTTACTGATGTATATGCATTTTATAGTTTTGCAACAACATTAAAATATGTATTTTTATCGTCTTAAAGCAAATAATTATTTTTTGATACAATATTTAAGATAATGAGTTTTAATCATTTAATAAAGTGAATTATGATATTATCTCTTTTTATGTGAATGATATTGCTGATAATTTTAGAACAAGAATTAAGGAAAATAATAAAAAAAATAGAATATGTATTTAAATATTTTAAAAATGATATTTCAATATATGCAATGCGAATATCACTTTGTATATAATGAAATTTTATAGTATAATATAAATAAATAAAAATATATTTTATTTTGTGTATGAAAATACTATATATATTTAAATAAATATAGAAAATATGATTAAAAAAAATTGTACTAATAAAAGTGTAAAATACAATGATTCAAAACAAATAAAAAATTAAGAATAAAATTATAGTTAAAAATAAAAACTTACCCATGCTCCTTTAAATATTGGAGGCACCAGCATAATCAAAGGAAAATAAGAAAAAACTGTCTATAAATATATTCAAAATAATATTTCAGACTTATTTTATATGATAAAAATATTAAACATATACAAATTAAAATATAAAGATATTAGAAATAAAATTGACTACATACATGTCTTTGTAAATATTTTTGGGTTGGATGCATGATGTGTGGTATTCATATATTTACGCAGTTTTTTTAGGTGATTGTCTTTTTATATTGACAAATTTGCCATTAAGTGTACGGTAGTGATTAAAAGTAATAAATGAATGAAGGGTAAAAATTTAAAATTTGTGTTTAAAAAATGAAAATAGGACAATAGTTATTGGACGTCCTAAATAAAAAAATAGGACATTAGTTTGTGGACGGAGGGAGTATATTTTTAAATAAATTTTATATGCATAATTATTTGATGAAAAATTACACATGCTATTCAAATCTCTATTTAATGTGTGCAACAAGACAAAAATGCTTTATGTGCATACATTATGCTTATTATATTAATATAATATGAATAATATAATGAAAGATATATATTTGAGATTATACATTTTACCTGTCTAAAATCACATATATAAATTTATTTTGCATTTGATATTTTCAATGATTCTAATACTCCATCCGTCCCATAATAAAGTATTTATTTTTCTATTTTAGTTTGTCTCATAACAAAGTATTTATTTTTTTTTTTTAGTAATTGTACTATCTACCTAACATTACAAATACCCTTACAACTTACAATATATTACACAAATGTCATTACCCTTATATCACACATACTAATAAGGTTATTTTAGTCATTTCTACTTTATTCTTACTATATCTCAATATAATACTAATATTTTTAAAACTACTTGCAAAAAGCAAATGGATATTTAGTTCCGAGACGGAGGGAGTATTAAAAATATTTTTGATCTAATGAATGCTATTATTTTTTTGCGCACAACGATCATGGCCAAACCTAAATATAATAATAAGAATAAGTAAAAATTAAGAAATATATTACATAATAAAATATTAAATATAGTAATTTATATCAATTAAGAAGATCATCACTTAAATCTAGTTCACATATTTACATATAATTTGATAAAA